AAAAGGAACAACAACAACAACATAGGATGCGAAAAGAACTGCAGAAAAACTTATATAGTTAGATAAAAAGTACAGAAGAAAATTAGAAAATTAATAATAAGATTTGCAGGCTGCGAACACAGTTGAGAGGAAAAAAGTGGCTATGGTTGATTTTATAGACGCAATCACGACGGCACAATGAGGGGATTAGGGCTTCCTGGAGTGTCGATTGGCTTATTACCTATTACCGAAATACCCCTTGCTTTTCTTGTTATTCACTCAAAGTTGTGATCGGATATATGTTTTTGTTGCGGAAAAAAATTATAATGAAATAAATATTAAATAATAATGTTTATGTGTGATATAAAAAAAAAAATATGATGTGAATTGTGATATGGATTAGGGAGTAATATTACTAGTTATATATGTAATTGAATAAATATTAATTTTTGTATAAATTTGTTGTTAACTAAAAATATATTTAATAGGTTAAATATATTAAAAAGTTAACTAATCCATAGGTGCAATTGGATAACTAGAAAAGAGAAAATACAATTGGATGTATTAAATAAATACAATTTGTAGTTAACTAAAAATATAATAAAAGAGAAAAAAAATATTAATAGGTTAAATAAAGTTAACTAAAAATATATTCAATTGGCCATATATGTATGTTTACCGAAGTTCGACTCGTTTATCAAGTGAGTCGAGTTGAACTAAAATATTAAGACCGACCCATGGGTTGGGTGACCAACTAAGAGGAAAAAAAAAGTACTAAAATGAAAAATGAGAAAAATTACAGTAGGTTCCAAAATGTGACTTGATTGCCAAGCTGAGTTGGTGGGTGGAATGACACACTTGTCCTATTCTCATTTGATCTCTAAATTTTTTAGATAGGATATTCACAGATAACTTTTAAAGAATAATAACTGATGTTAATATAGGTTAGGTTGGGCATGACCACTGATAAAACACTAAAAACCACATGTTTGGTTGGAAAGTTGAGTTGTCTAGGTTAATGAGAAAGAAATTAACTTTTAATTATTATGTTGAGTTGGGTTGTTCAAAAAAATGGTCTAACAATCCGAGCTCACGAACGATTCGGTTAGTTAAACTCTTTACATCATCCCAAACAGTACCATAAAAATTATGAGATATTAACAACAAATAGAAAGTATGTTGACAAAGCCAATCAACATAAAGCAAAACAATACAGAGAACTCCAGCTATTAACCCAAACTTTTCAGTCTCATGAGAAAAAGAGCTTCAATAATCAGGAAGAAATCATTAATATCATCTTCTCACAACAGCATTTGAAATCAAACTCAAACCAAAAGAACCAAAATATTAAAAAAAAAAAAAGAGAGAGAAATGAAAAGAACACAAATTAATCAAAGAATATAAAATCTAGAGGCCCTGGTCAATAAGATAGTCCCCCATCTTCTCGACGACCATGTTACACTGGCCGGGTGTNCGTGAGAAGTTCAAACAAGAAATTTGGAGATATGAAGTTGCAAAAGTGCTAATCACATTCTAATAAACAAAAGTCAGAAATTGATATATGAGAACATTATAAATTATACATATGAAGATAATCACATTCTTTAAATGTTTGTTATTGGACCTCTTCACCAAAGAGCTCATGCAAAATTCTCAAAAACCTCAAAGTGGCTATATAAAGTTATCCAAATGCAGTACACTTTACACCAAATCCGAAAAGGAAAAGCAGTTGGCATTGCCAACTTATCCCAGCTGGTTTGTTTAGGATACAGATAGAATTGGTTAGAGTTATGAACACGGCCAGCTAATAAGCAATAGAAAGATTCATCATTGATTCAATCACCCGAAAGATTACCAGAACTGAAAAATGGAGTTCCATAACAGAAGTTCACAAGATTATTGATGTCCACAAGTTCAAAAGATACTATGAATTGTCTGTATAACGCCACACGCATACCACTGAGAACAGTACTCATCTTCTTCATCAAGAATCATTCAAGAAAAGGCACCTAGTAATACATGTAGCATAACTAACATCGAATACTTTAGGCAATTATGGATGTAACCTGATTTTTCATTTTATCATAGCTATGCAATAGAGTTAGATAGTATGTGTGATGTGCAATCTTGAAAAAGAGGTATATTAGAAAGTTCACCTTCTTTCCACGAATTACAGAACCGGGTTCTCCTTGGATAACCATATATTTTGTGCTTCCAAGGAATAATCCAGTTGGAGCAAGGAATCCGGGTTCGTCAAAATCCTTCACAATGTTAGCAATCTCTTGCGGAGTGAACTGCATTATGTGTAAATTCATCAAACACAGAACACAAGAATGTGTTTCATCATGATACATGAGTTTGCAGGCATTACTCGGCACAGCTCATAAATCTATCAATAGAAGATATTGATAGACAGAATGCCAAGATACACACACACACACACACACAAACACAAAGAGAGATTGTGAAGCAATCACACAAGGAATGGGCCCAAATCAAATAGAAATTCAATTACAAGGATTTCAAAAATCAAACTTCACTCAAGAACATGATATAAACAAAGTACAACTAAAAGCTGAATCAAACGGTGTTTCATCACTTATTCCAAAAGCCACATCTAAAGCTGAATCAAAGAATGGCAATTATGTAAAATGTTGGCATCATCATCATCATCATCGATGCTTAAATGAATCAATGTTAGATTAGAAAAACGACTCCATCACACAAACAAACCCCAAGTCGGATCGAATGGCGATAAGAAAAACAAAAGGCGGCAAGGCAGAAATCAAACCTTTGGAAAGGAAGCGCTCTGAGCCCAGACGTTTCCGTCGATGCCGATGATCGCCGCGGCGGCGAGATGAACGCCTTCGACCTCACACATCAGGTGATCGTCGACGTACGACTGCCACGACATGGTTGCCGGCGGTGGCTTTTCTTCTTCTTCTTCTTTCTCCTTTTTGTATCGGGAACAAAAAAGCTCCTCGCACAGTCGCACTAGAGGCGTTTGTGAATTTGGGTGGAAGTGTGTGTTTGGGGGAATAAATAGTGAGGGAAAAGGGAAAACTTGAGAGGTCAGGGCTCGACCATAGCCATTGCTGCCCGAATTTGATGGGTCCCATTTTTCATGAATGTGAACAATGATGATACCACGTGGAGCCAATGATGATGCCACGTGGTGTCACGGGTTTCCACCTCTAACCCGAGCCCAATATTCTGGGCTGCCCGTGGGCCATTAGTGCCAACAGACCCTCGTGGACGTTGTATCAATCGATCAACTTGTTCGAGTCCTTATCTTTGTACATATTTGTAAATTGTAGATTTATCGATCGTTACTAATCTGAGCATTTTTATTTCAGCTCGATTTTTTTCCCTTTCGATGTGGTTTTGCACAAAATGAACCCAAACTCGTATAAAAATCAAGCTGAACCATGCAACTCAATGCAATTCGGTTCTTATATATGTTAATGTTGAAAATTTTGGTTCGATTTTTATGTTGCAGTGCAATTCAATTTGAAAATGGTACAAATTTCAATTTTTCAAAATTTTCAGCGTCAACTGAGACTTCTATAACATGCATAAGTCTCTTTGATTTCTTTTCACCTGAAATATTCTAAGCCCCGCCAATTCTTGAAATTTACCTTGTGAAAGAGAGTGTTACATTTACAAGGGGAACTTACATTCTACATTCTCCCAAAACACCAAACGACGAAGAAAACCCGTCATATTACATGAGGACAAGTTTATGGTTACAATAAGATTTACAGAACTTTTGCAGGACTAAGATGTAATTACAATAATGGTGTGTCATCTTTCGGATTTCTGTCATAACCTCCTGAAAACGGTGTTTATCATCTGCTTCAAATTAACACATCCCAAAATCTCCGTACCTTGAAGATTCACACCAGCGAACAAATTTTCTGCATATTTTGGGACAATACACTTCTTGTATCCCAGCTTCGCAAGTGTGTTGATTCTTTTTTCCATTTGAGGCACCTATAATAAGCGAGAGAAAAAGAAACGAAAAAATATGAGTTTAAATAAATTAAAAATATTTTTCAAGCAAAAAGAAAGGGGTTTAAACGTGCATTTATATCGTTTAGGAAAGGATTCAGACAATTTACGTACCATACGAAGTTCACCACTAAGATCAATTTCTGCAATGAATGCTATGCCATACGGTATGGGGAATTCCAAGAAGCTGAAAAGAATGAAAATTACTCATTTTTCTAGTTTAGCTGCATCAAGCAATCTAATCAAGAAACTAGTCAGAGAGATTCTAAGAATAGAAAAGATGCCCACTGAAACATTATGATGCAAATATCTGACACAGTGCAATATATGACCAGCTCAAGAAAAGGGAAAATTGCCATGCCTGCTACAAATTGCAGCTGCTATAGCTAGATCTCCAGCCGTCTCGGTCAGGCTAAACCCACTGACAACGTTAAGGAAAATGGCCTACAAATAAAGAAAAATGGAAAATTAGACAATAGGATATAAGATAAACATTTTCCAGCAGGGAGAATAGGATTCAAGATTCAAAGGTATGGCAGAACAGAACAATCAGTCAGATATTTATTTATTTATTTATTTATTTATTTATTTATTTTGGCTATTATCCCACATGCCCACTAATTAAAGCTATAAGTTGGTATTTGCTTTATTTAAATGCAATAATAAAGGTAAATTTGCAGTTGCTTGACATATAGTTACTACTAACCGGTTGCCAATTCAAGTACATAAATCTTTCTCTGAGCTTGTTTGATAAGACGGATATTTTTAGTTTGATTTGGTTGCCAACTAAATCAACCGGAAAATGGATAAATAAAAAGAAAAAAGAAAAAAACAGAACAGCAACACGAACATCAGGACGTAAACATAAGTGAACTAAAAATTTGTATGTATGTCATTACATTATCCTGCAGCTTAAGACCCGCTTGCTTCGTAATAACCTGCAAAAAGAAATGTGGTGAGATAGTAATCATTCACACACTTCCCAAAAGAAATACTGTTTGAGTTATTAGAGATATTTAAAGTGTGGTAAGAAAAATATTGTTCTTAAAAACATCATGCATGATCTAAAATGGGCTTTACATTTTTTCTTTTCATCTTTCTTCTGCAAAACCAATGCCCCTCAAAGCAACTGAGTGAGTTACAGCTCGACTCACCAGCATTGAGTGAGTTATAGAAAATGAGTAGAATCACTCACAGAAATAATCATATCAGCTCTGCTACCTTGAATACCATTCCACTGCCTCAAGGCAGATGAGCCAGCCACACACAGTGCCTACAGGAAAAGTAAAACAAGAAATCTAAAATAATCAGCGATACTCAATTCTAACGGCTTTTATGTATAGTAACAAGCATATTTACTAAGCCGGTGAACTCAAAATTACTCAACTTCAGGTGCACGACATTCATTACTTAAATGAGCAGATCGAGTAGAAAGACCACAGGATGTCCATGAAGTTGTGATATCTAACTTTGAGACAACATAACTAAATGAAAAACGGTACCTGAACTTCAATGAGAAATGCTCGTGATCCATCCATAATCACGGCCACAGCCAACCCAGCCAGATAATCTGAATTAGAGCGCTGCTCACCTAAGAACATCTCGCTTGGATTAGAAACTCCTTGCAATCCTGACTCCGACATTTTGAAAACACCAAGCTGAAAATAATAAATAAGTAAATGAAAAACAAATACTGATACCTTGTTAAGATAAAAATAAGAACTAACATGCAGCTAAAGATCGATATACCAAAAGTCATAAAGTCAAACATTGTTCTTAACATTCTAGTAAGATTCAATCCAAGAGATCATTGTTAGCAACTTTCCGATTTGTCATGCTTTTGGTATTGGTTCGCGATAGTTATTTTATATTTGTGTTGTTTGGTTACATCCTGATATTTATTAAGAAAGCACTAGTACACCATAACATATAGTAACCCTCATGATAATCACCATTAAGAACCTATAAAAAATTCGTAGCCTTCTTCAATAAGAGTATCCTACTCTGGGAAGTTTGAAATATAATATTCACAACTCGTACTTTACGTCCGAATTAATATGGGAGCTAATGATGGTGGGCCCCTAATTGAGGGACTATTAAAATAAAATACCTCATCCGTGGAGCCGAACCGATTCTTCACTGATCGAAGCAACCGATGAGATGAAAGTTTCTCCCCCTGACATTATTCATTATCAGTGGCATTAGTATACCACAAACAAAGGAAATTATCACACATATATATTAACTCCAAATGATTCTGCATGGTGGACAGTAAGGAACAGTTCTATATGGAATTGATACATTTTATGATCTAAGAGCAATTAGCGCTAATAAACTTCCATCATCATTATAATAATGATTGGAAATTTGGTGTAAGTCAATTGATTATATGCTACATGGATGCCCGGAAAAAAAGCACTAAACTAAAGGCTCATATCAGCTTAAGAATGTCCAGATTGATGGACAAGGAAACTGCTAATGGTTATTAACATTAAATTTAGACGGAGTTTCAGTTTGCAAAAACAATATCCACGCAAATTAATATGAAACTGATCTCAGAAATCTCTGTAACAAAGATGAGATCACATATATATGGAACAGTTTTATGAGATATCACCAAACAATATGGCAGTCATTCAGTCAATTAGAAGTTACTGATTGAGCAATAATATCCAATTAGATACCAACTTCCATATATAAAACAACATCCACAATATGCTCCAAAAGACGTGGCCCAGCTATTTCTCCAGATTTGGTCACATGCCCAATCTACAGCAAGGAGAAAAAAAGAAAAGATCACAATCATCGACCATTGATCACACTATGATACTGCAAACATAACGTTGACAACAAACTACAACAGGGTTCAAAGCACTTTTCAAATTTGGACCCACCAAAAGTACAGGGATATTCGTCTTCTTCGCAAACCTTAGTAATGCTGAAGTGCATTCTTTCACCTGTCACATGTCAACTTAAAGTCACAAACTATAATACAATGCATCTTAAAAGATCAGTAAGGTCCACAATTTCTGGTTCTTAAACTGTAACAAGTCAAAATACTGAAGGCCAAATTGCCTACTGTGATACAAGAATGGAAGGATATAAATCTTAGAATATTTTATGCTGATTTCTGGGGATCTGTGCTTGATCTTATGAACTTTGACTGATTTCTAAATCCTTATGTTATTAATGTTTCTTAACCCTTATATTTCTTAATTGCCGTTTTATATTAGCTATAGTTTAGTATATCGGACGGTTCTCAATAGGATATTATGGAGAGTTTTATATTGAAATAGCTTTTGCTATTGGGCAAGTTATACTTGCTAGGCAGATTTCTAAGGGAGAAGTTCCATAGTTCACCCCTATTTGTATTTCATCTACAAAATTATGTATTTTCTTTTACCCCATAGTTGTTCACCCCTACTAATAATCAACACAGAAAGAAAACAATGTTCCTAATGACAGCACTACAATAGAATCGACTTCTGTTTCATCTTCCTGAACCTATTAAAGATTTCATAGGAGGTTAAACTAGAATACGAGAAAATACAGAACCTGTGTAGAACCTCCAGCGCTTCCAGTCACTCCATTTAAATAGACGGTCTGAATGGAATCAATGATTAAAGCCTTTGGGGAAAGAGGCTGAGCCTGTTCTAGAATATCCTGTCAAGAAAAGCAGCGACTGGACATATAAATATGTACAGCAGAAATTATAATCAATAAACTATATCATTAACAAAATACCTCCATTTCCTGACAAAGAAATTTAGAACTACTTAGGAACCTTATAATAACTATTAGTTAGCCACACACAAACAAGCCTTGGATCAGCCTCAGACGGGGAGCAGGAATCTCTGTCAAGCAATTCAGATGATCTAGAGGAAAGCTAAGACCCTAAGGGGGCGATTGTATACAAATTGTACAGTAAAAAAATCAATCAAAACTCAAATTTAACTCAACTTCACTATCTCCAATAATATCAATATAATTAAATAATATCAACCAATCATTCTTACACATCACATCAACTTTAATTCACTATTCATCTACTCACATAATTTTAACTATCACTCTCAATCATTTTCTCCTACTTTTACATCAAATCAAATTTAATTATTTTATTTTAAATATTATTTTAATATATCCACAAACAACTAACCATAACACCTTATTTCAAACTCAACTATAGTTAAAAAATAACCAGTTTTTTACTAGTTGAATCCATATCCAATCACCCCCTAATAATTGCACCAATTTGTCCAGCAAAATAAGGAACAATTTTCTATTTTGCTTCACAACTCATTGTTGGCAGAACGACTTGAACAAAAACGGATATTGGCATGTTTTATGCTTGTAGTCTCATACTTCCCCGCTCCATGAAACTTTTCATGAAACAGAATTCGGCTTCAGTATATTTCTATTCACTTTTGCTTATTACTAAGCTCACATCTTCCAAACCAATCAAGCGAGCTTTAACACGCATTCTGAGGTCAGGAAACAGTTGCTGCTACTTTAATACGCATTCCCTAATGAAAATTATCATGACTGAAGAAGTGGCATACCAAAATCAAGACAACAAACAATTCATTATTGTGGAGAAACAACTGACACTATAATCTTCAGAAATACGTAAGCGCTAGGTTTACCTCAATATCTGTATTTGAATGCAGAAAAAGTTCTTCTGTCCGGATATGCAGACGGTCAGCTCTATTTGCAATTTGCTCAACACTCTTCCAATAAAAAGTAAGAAAAAAAATTAACTCTAAACATAAAAAGAATTCGAGATCGGTATGTTATATCTTCGATAAAGCACAGGGGAAAACATGCAAGATGCTGGGCTGAAGGTAAATAGGAATATAATATATCCATAGCAGTTTAAAAGTTGGGCAGCATGTCGGCAAAACTCTAGAGATATGAACATTTGATTTTTCCAAGTCTTACAAGCAACATCTACAAGTCAAGAGATATACCTCTTCCCCAGATACATATAAAACTCGAGATGGAACATCTGCATCATCCCCTTCTCCTATCAATGCAGCAATCTACCACTCAGAAGTAAAATCCGATGTTAAATATAATACCATAGGAAATTACTAAGTATCATTGAAAAGTATCATATGAGTAAGCAAGCATCACTACCATGAACAATATCTGATGTTAAATATATACCAAAGGAAATTACTAAGTATCATTGAAACAATATCAAATGAGTAAGCAAGCATCACCACCAAGAACAATATTAATACCTGCAACAATAGTGTGCTTTTACCCACCCCTGGATCTCCACCCACTAACACTAGAGAACCTGCGAAACAAATAATTGTCAAATTTTCAAAGTACACCTAAATACGGAGAAAAACTTAGGGAAAACATGAAGCAAGGTAAGGGAAACCCAGAATCAAAATATAGTGGCATTTGAAAGATCATCCCAATACATGGATGGTGTTCACTTAGAACTTATTCAAACATAATTTATGATGTAAAGAAGAGCCATATAACAATATAAGCTTAATGAATTAACCTCTGAATGTATATACAAAGAACTCCTTATCGGAAAACAAAATGGAATACCTGGGACCAATCCGCCGCCGAGAACCCTCTCTACTTCAGCTCCAAATACTCCATGCCTATTCACAATATAAGAGACCAAACCTATTAAGCCCCTAAACAACTATATCACTATCTGTAACCTAATCAACGGAATATAAAGCAAGGACCACTTAATATATCTACCATAATCAACACATTCAACAATGAGGAAAATCCAACCAATGTGCAACTACACTAAAGTTCTAAACTAACACAAATATCCCAAGTATAATGAAAGGAAAATTATCTCTACTCACAAAGGAATACGCCAATTTGACTCCTCAATCGGATTAGACACATCAGACAACCGGATAGGAGCCGCCTCCTTTGGCAGCCACGACCTTTCCAGGTTTTCCGGCACCAGAGTCCCAGTCCCTTTCTTCTCCTGGGCGCTCTCGACTGTGTACCGTTTCATGGTACCCGTCATCCCACACTCCCTGCATGAGCCCCACCACTGCCCATCCGAGTACCCACAGCTCTCACAGACAAAGACGCTTCTAACCTTCCCCTTCTTCCTCACGCTGCTGCTGACACTGCTGCTGCCGACGACATCTCGGTGGACTCGGCTGCTCACCTCGATACTCGAGGAGCGACTGACAGGTTCAACTTCCTGGCTGGCGCCACTGGATTCTCTCATGGTGACCAAGCGGCCTGTGGTGGGGCCGTAGACTGTTTCAACGGCAGGGGTCTGCCGGGAAGTCGGGTCAGCCGGCGGCGTCCGCGTCAATCCCGGAAAGGCCGACCAGGTGGACGCGGTGGTTTCATCGGCGGCTGTGGGGGAGGAGGGGAGCCGGCGGTTGGGAGTGGAGTGGAATTTCTTGGGCTGCTGGGGGTAGTTGCGAGATTTGCAGCAGGTGACGGCTTGGCCGGTGAGGGTTCGGAGGTAAAGCGATCGGAAGACACGCATGTCCGGAGTTTGTTGCATCAGACGGGGAGAAAGTTGCTGGTTGAGTGTAAGCTCAAATTGGGGGATTAGGGTTTTATGTGGGAAAATTCGAAAATGCTAGGATTTATATGAGATAGAAAGACACAAATGGTAAAAATCGAACATGTAAATAAATATTTTTTTTATATAAATTTTGTATATCAAAGTGTTAATAATATTGTATCTTATTAGGGATGTGCAAAGTTCAATTTGAGTTAGATTTTGAGTAAAACAATTGTAAAAGTTTTATCAGATTAAAAATAACTGATTTATTTATAACCACAAAAATTATATGGAGCCATATTGAGTCATCCACCACTTAATGTAAAAGTGTATTTATTGCAGAACACGTGTCAATACACTATTGGTGAATAAATATTAATTGCTCCATAAGTCGAGCCATCTGATGGCTCCATAACAAAACTGTTTATAACCAATCACAACTTACGTTTTTAGAATCAATCATTTTTTGTCCAAACTTTTAAAATTATTGGTCGCCGCATCCAAAATTGTCATCGCCATCTCAAGTGGTGGATTTCAAAAGAAAGAAATGTTTTAAGTACATAATACTGTACATAAGGGTGTACAACTCTCACATTGAGTGGGATCGACAAAAAATAAAAAAAATCAAATGGATCCTACTCCATTAAGTGTTATGTACACCTCTATGTACATTTATTATGTACTTGTAGCATTTTTTTTCAACACATAATACACATTATGAAAGTTCCAGCTCGACATATCCAACAATATTTTTAATTTCAACATACGATATATTGAAGCTTGTTAAAATTGTTATTGAAGTTTTCAACAATACCTTTAATATCATCATAAGGCTTATCAAAATTGTTATAGAAAACCTTTTTTTTTTTTGTTGTTGTTGTGTGTTGAGAATCTGATGGTATCTCCATATAATCAATAGGGCTCCCAATTGCAGGAAACATATGGAAAATGTTCCAATTTCCCGGCCGCCGCGACTCAAGATGGAAATCAGAAACTTCATAAGCATGTCCTCAGCGATTTGGAGACCAAATCAAACTTTGATAT